CCCATGCCCCCCTCCCCATTCAGCAGCACTGTCACTGAGTCTGGCGTCCTGTGTCCCTTCCCGCAGGTGGTCGCCTTCTGCGACGTGGACGAGAAGAAGATCAAGAAGGGCTTTTACTGCTATGAGGAGTCCCAGGTGTGTGGGAGCCCAGGGGCTTGTCCACCCACGGGGGCCTCCCACAGCACTCCCGGCGCGCCCCCTGGGCCTTTTGAGTGGGCGCCACCCAGGACCTTCCTCCCTGGGAAAGGCCACCTGGGCCCCAGCACAACCTGTGCTCACCTTGTCTTTCTGCTGGAGAGCACAGCTCACAGCCCCGGTCTCTGTCGTCCACCCTGGGTCGGTTCTGCGGTGGCTGGAAGGTGGCCGGGTGGCGGGTAATGGATGCCGGGTCCTGCCCTGGACGGCCACAAGCTGGGCGCCTGCCCGAGCACATCCAGTTGTGAGGTGCAGAGGGTGCAGGAGGCACAGGCCCCCTCTCCCCCTGTGGGTGCCCTTGGCGGAAGGAGCGCCCAGCCCTCCGCAGCCGCGCCCACGGCCCTCTCGTCCCTCAGGAAAGGCCCAAGCCCCGGGTGCCCATCCTGCACTTCCGAGCTGCCCGGCCACCGTTCATCATCTGCGTGAAGCTGGTGAGTGTTGGGCTGGACGTGGGGCGCGATGACCGTGTGGCTGGGACAAGCCCCAGGTCGCGAGGTGGCGGACACCTGGCACACGGTCGTGGTCCACTCCCTCGTCTCAGACCAGCTCTGGTCTCGCGTCCACCGCCGGCTGGGCTGGGAGGTGGTGACCGTTGCTGTGGGGAGGCCAGGAGGGTGACCTGCATAGGGTTGGGGGCGGGGGGAACAGTCACTCCAGCCAGACCTGGGGCCACCCGGGGTGTGAGGGGACGAGGCGGCCGTGGTGCCCTCGTGAGACCGCACTCCAGTCAGAGCAGCTTACTGCACGCGTGCAGTCACATCCTCGTGAGATGCTCCCGCCAGGAGTGTAGGGTTCCGGGGAGAAAGCGGTCGCTGGAAGCACCTCAGCCCTGCCCCCCAGTGACCGCCGTCCTGCGTGTCCTCTGTGCCATCCCAGGGGCACAGTGGCCGGCCGCTGCAGAGCCTGTTTCTCAGCTCCATGCTATATGTTGGGGACCCAAGCGAGAGGCCAGGACCCCCTTCTCACTTGCCCGAGATCACTCATTTTCTGAGTAACATGCCGTCATTGCATGTCCCCCATGATGAAGTCTGGGCCATTCATACAGCACGGCTGTGACATTCTCGTGACTGAACAGACACGAAGGGTCTCGGGCCCTCAGCAGGTGCCCCTCCCCCCTCACTAGGAGACGTGCTGACTCGTGGGCTGGTCTCAGCCCCACCTCTGAGGAGGCTCCCTGAGGACCATGCCCCTGGGCCGTCCGTCTTGAGTTTCAAGTGTGCCTTTGTCCATTCTGGCAGTTGTGACTTGTTTTTTCACAGGTTCTTCCCAGAAAAACTTACTTTTAATGCAGTGGCACTTATCATCTTTTCTAATTCAGGAAGTTCTTCCCCATGGTCAGAAAAACATGTTCATATGTGTACATAATGTGTGTGTGTATAAAGTTGCATTTTTCAGATTTCAATTCTTAATCCACCCCAACTATGGGGCCCAGGTCCGCTCACTGGGGCAGGGCTGTGCCCCAAAGGGTCCCTGGAAGGGGACAGTGGTTTATGGGTGAGCAGGTCCCTGTGCTGTGCTGTTGGGGGTCGTGGAAGGGGGTACAGATAGGGACACAGGTTACTGCTTCTGGTAGCTTCTGACCCGTGAGGGAGATTGGACTAGAACCCCAGTAACCAGGCTGCACAGCCTTCCTGGAGGCTGTGGCTTTTGGGGAAGGGTGTTCACTCCTCCAGAGTTAGGCAGTGGCAGGAGACAAACAGGTTGTGCCCTTGTGCCCCCACTGCAAGTGGGGACCCTACCAAGCCCTGGGCTTGGGGGCCTCAATGCCCCTGCACACTTCACAGCAAAGCTCTGTCCACTCCACTGGCCAGGGCCTCCGAGGATGTCCTGCACGTGCTGCGGGACTCGGACGAGCTGTGGAGGGAGGCAGACGGGAGCGTCCTCCGCAGGTGGCTGGTTTGTGTAGCGCCCAGTCCCTGTCTGCACCGACAAATTCACTCCGAGATTCTAACCGCCGTTTAGTGGGGTCCAGGCACCTCTCAGGGGCTGAGCTGTGTGTGGCTGGTGCGTCAAGCCACGGCCGAGTCCTGGTGGAGGATGTCACCTCCGTCGGGTCTGAGATCAGACACTTGAGGACAACGGATGTCTGCTGCCATGTTGGGCACGGCTCGGAGGTGTTGGGTTCTGGCCCTTGCTCGAGGTGCCACTTTGGAGAAGTCGCCCAGCTATGGCGAGAGCAGGCCCACCACGTGACCAGGGCTGGTCCTGAGTTCAGCCCCACGGAAACCATGAGATGATTAGTGTGTTGATTTAAACTGCTAAATTTGTTGTAACTTATTACACGGCAACAGGTAATCCAGGCACACGTTGGAAAAACAGTAAAATACAGCACCCACCCTCACGGGCATGCCTTTTGGCACTTTGAATGATGCCGCTGTGGACGTTCACATAGGGAGTTGTCTGTGGACGTGGCTTCCCTTCTCCTGGGCACACCGGGAAGTGGAGTTGCTTGCTCACACGGCAGCTCTGGGTCTGCCTGAGGAACCGCCGGACACCCCACAGCCGCCTGCGGCTCACCCGGGTCTCATGTCCCCCGACACCTGCCGTTTGTTTGGTTATCATGGCCATGCTGGTGGGCGTGGCGTGGCGTCTCTGTGGTGGTTTTGACTGGCATTTCCCTGACATCTGATATTGAGCCTCTTTCATGGGCTTGTTGGCCTTTTGTGCATCTTCTTTGGAGAAACCTCTTTTCAAGTTCTTCACCTTTTTAATTGGGTTGTCTTATTGTTGTCAGAGTTCTTTATATGTCCTAGATGCAAGTGCCCAGACACGTGCACATGTTTTCCTCCATTCTGTGGGTTGTCTTGTCACTCTTGACAGTGTCCTTTGATGTACAAGCGTTTAATTCTGATGAAGTCCAGTTTATCTCTAATTATCCCAAGTTCCTTGTGGTTTTGGTGTCACATCTAAGAATCCATGGTGACATCCAGGGTCCCTGTTTCCTTCTAAGAGGTTTATCGTTTCAGCACTTACATTTAGGTCTCTGATCCGTTTTGAGCTGATCTTTGTGAGCTGGGGCACCAGCTTCACTCTCCTTCATGCCCAGTTGACCCAGCACCGTCCCAGCATGTCACCCTAGGTTTTGTTCTGTGGCTGTTTTGTCAGCTTGAACTTGTATGATTCAACTCTTGCTACCTAACAAGTCACCCCAAACTTAGCCTAAAGCCACGCACGTTAACACCCACAGTGTGGGGGTCAGAAGGCCAGACGCCACAGGGGGGTCCTCAGCTGCCGTGTCCCAGGAAGCTGCGGCAGAGACGTCGGCCAGGATGGGCACTCGCGGTGGCCAGGTCCGCTTCCCAGCTCCCGTGCTTGTTGGCAGAAACCCACTTTGTGTCCTGGGAGGGTCCTGAAACACCAGTTACTTGTTTCTTGTAGATTCTTCCAGAAATAGTCAATGCAAACACAAATGTGTGTATGTGCAATTTTTTAAAACAAATGGTAGCATGATACACATACTTTTTCTGTATTTGGTTTTTTCCACATAATAGTATACCTTGGTGATTATTCCATGTTAACCTGTTGGCCCCACCTAACTCTCTCGTGCCTGTTACCTTTGTATTAAGGGAACTTGCCAGCGTGTTTCTGCCATGCGGCCACGGTGGCGGAGCCATTCCCCACGGCCCACCCTGGCCGCTTGTGTGCGCCATGCTCCAACCCCTGCACCCCGGATGGTGAGGCAAATGCTAGCCTAATTTCATTCGTTAGTTTCCCAAACAGATAAAAAGCTAAAGAAAATCCCCGAAATACCACACCCCAGAGTTCCAGATACCCATCAGTGTTGAAATCGCCCTAACTGTCTTATAAATGGGACTTATCTTCTAGTGGTTTGCCTGTTGGAATCCAGACCCACTAGGCCCATGTGTTATTCAGCTGATGCGACCTTTACGTTGCCTTTATTTTCTTACGTGTTTGGTGCCGTTTAACAGGCATCTCCTACAAGGAGGCAGGACTGTTGCTGGAGGCGGCTCAGACCGGGGTCGGCAGCTCTCCCCCGCTTCCGTTACTGGCCTCACTTCATAAACAGCTGCACGTTCCTCGATCATACGGATGCTTCATACATTTATTATCCGGTTACCTATCACTGGACCTTTGGGCCACTTTTATAGTTGCTATTAAAATAAAGCTGCTGTGAATAGTTAAACACACATAGTTTTGTTCAGTGGCTACACGTGTAAACTGGTAAAAGCTGCTGGTCGAAGCGCCCATATGACGGGTTTGGATCCCACCAGTTAGCGTCCCTGGAGGCTGTGCCACTTTCCATTCCCAGCGGTGAGCCTTCTCCGGCCGCGTGACCAAATCTACCGACTTTGCAAGTCTCAGGTGAAATTCAGGAAGCTCGTAGCTCCCGTCGGAACCGTCGTATTATGGGCAGGGGGGTGTCGTCACATGACTCACAAGCATCTTTATTCCCCTCTTGGTATATTATTTATTTCATTAGCCTGTTGTTTATTGGTGTGTCAGTATTTTTCCTTGTAGAACAAAAAAACCCCTCTATTTGTGATATGTGTTACAAACTTTTGTGTCATTTGACTGAATTTATATTTTTGCCATTTAGAAATTTTTATTTAAATTTTTTTTTTCAATTACAGTTGATGTACAATATTGTATCAGTTTCAGGTTTACAACATAGTGATTAGACGGTTCTATAACTTAAGAAG